GCATACCGTATTTGTCTTAATAAGCAACTGGCAATGGGGCGCTTTTAAACCAGACACAACTTAAATCTGTTTTCAGAGATCGAGCGGTAAGGACAAATATAGTTAAACATTGATGAAACTAATTTATTTTTTTAAAGTTACAAGGTTATTATATACCCCAGGTGCTGTTTTCTGAAAAAAATGGTACACAAGAAATTTTGTGGTCTTTGTAGTAACGCTTATAAAGAATATATTGGTCTAAAGAGGGGTCAGGGGGTGCTTCATAGACCAGGGCGCTCAGTACGGTAAATGCTGTATGGTGTTTTTCATCAAGTAAAGAAAAAGGTGAGTTGAGATGAAAGGGGATTAAAAATCGCATTCAAGATAATCGCATTTACATTGTGAAGTGCGTAAAGACAAACGGGAATGGATGTATTATATATATGGAGGTATTCTCCACCTGGGATAATACAATTATGTGAGGTGGGTGGGGATGAAAATTGAATAACTAAGTTATTATGGCCTTAGAGATGGTGTATTATTGAAGCAAAGACTATGATAATCACCATAGTAACAAAACCAGTAGTCACACAGGTTCGACACAGATTATGGCACAAGTCGCTCTGCTGTGACATACAATAACAATAACAAAGATTCTTCGTAGGCTTGATGGTGATGTAAATTAACAGTTAACAGCATTTAACATTGGAAAAATCGGAAACAGGAATATGTCATTTGGCCAATCAAATTCAAAAACAAATATTGAAACAATCAGCAGAACAGATCACAACCGTTTCTCTTATCTCCACCAAGTGAAGTGGAATTTCGGTTAATACATTTATTAAAGTAAATTCTTTCCAGGTTTGTTTTATATTGGGTTTCAAATACAAAAAAATTGATGATATTCATTTTTGGTGTGAGTTTTCTGTTGATCTGATGTTGTTTGAGCTACAGTTAGCAATGTTCAAGCTTAATCATGGTGGCTGACAGCATGACAAGACAAACCAATGGCTGACAGCATGACAAGACAAACCAATGGCTGACAGCATGACAAGACAAACCAATGGTTGACAGCATGACAGCATGACAAGACAAACCAATGGTTGACAGCATGACAAGACAAAACAATGGTTGACAGCATGACAGCATGACAAGACAAACCAATGGTTGACAGCATGACCACACAAACCAATGGTTGATAGCATGACAACACTCAGGATACCTTGACAACTTATCAGATAATATACTGATCTTGATCTTCGCAGGTCATCCCAAGCAATTCCTACAGAGCAGCATAAAATAGCTGCAAAGTCCTAAACACGCAGGTAAGCAATGACAAGGACAAGCATGGTGATCATCATCTGGACACCTACATATGATATCTGTTGTCTGCTTAAGGTAAAACTTGCAATAAGCTACACACTTTCAACAAGGTACATGTTTTCAATACACTACACATGTTCAATAATGTTACGCAGAGCTCAGCCAATACTGAAAGACATTGTCAAACAAACAAAACATGAAGTCATAACATCTGTAAACTGCCTGGTACTTGGTATTGATGGCAAAACCTTTTCAGAAATACATGAGAAAAAATAATTGGATAAAAACCAGAATACTGACGTCTAAAGTCAGGTAGACATTGGCGTAAATGATGAAAAATAAATAAAACATTCCTTACTGCTTGCGACACAAACAGTAAGAGTTATGTCACAGTCATATAGGCAGGTTACTGAAACAAGCTTTTGGTCGGTTCCAATTCGATTATTTTCTCTTTAAATATTTTGGTATAAGTTTGGTTCTATTGAATCAGGTTAAATCAAATAGCTATAATTTCATCTGATTTAGAAGTAGTTTTAGGGAATCACTTACACAAACCCCCATTTCATTATACTGAACAAACAATATATTTTGAACATGACACATACACTGGTTATCTGGATAAGACGTAACAAAAAACAAATTAGATATTTTTCAAAATGAGACAAATTCTTTGAACACATGTCAACAATATATGTCACAATGGTCACGCAACATGAGTGAGTGAATTGGGTTTAGCGCCTCTTTTAACAGTATTCCAGTTATATCGCGGCGTGGCAGCTTAATGTGGGAGGAATGCCCGAAGTGATGCAGGTGATGTTTACCACTTCGGTGAAACCCACGAGCACGGGTATGGTGCTGTCAAACCTAGAAACATAATCGGGGCGAACCGGGATTTGAACCCACAATCATAGGTTTCTGGCGTGCCCAAGGGACGCAACTCTGCACAGCAAATCGCGGCGCCTTAGACGTCTGGGCCATCCGTACCCCCTGGTCACACAACAAAGTTAACATGAAAGATTAGAGAAAGTTGTATAAGCAAATAAGCCATCATTATGCAGGGGAGACAATTCACTTCCAAACCCTGGATACATAAAGGATATGAGAAACTCCCAGGGACGGCACTAAGGGACCAGTCATTGATATTCTGGGGGAGATGGGGTTGAAATTTTATTGAAAAAAATCAATTGTCCCAGAAAATGCTTGAAAAAATAATTATGCTTCAGACTTTTGAAAAACAAGAACTAAGACGTTGCAAGATGATTTTGACATGTTTAATAACAAAGTAGTTAGGTTCATGGCTTTATACCTTAGATCTGATCAGATCCTACACCTCCCCCCTCGAATATCAAATGGTCCGTCCCTAATTAACATATTGCTTCAGGCATTTTAGATTTATGACATCTTCCACTTGGGATTTTCTTAGGATTTGTTTGTTGTTGCTCAACACATACACAGCCATATTCCAGCTATATGACTGCCGGGTTCTTAGGAAATACACCAGTGTTCCATCTACAACTCGTCAATCTTATTTCAAATAAATTTTGATACTCTTCTGTTGTTAACAGATCATATTGAATGAGTGAGTGAGTATGTGTGAGTAAGAGAAACATTTCAAGTCACAGACAAATGTGATCACGTGTGAGTAGGGACCATGAATATTAGTTAATTGCATCTCTGCTTGTTACCATGGTTACAAGGATAAACTCTTATTGAGAATACAGATATAGTGTTTTAAATGGGAATATTATCTGGTAGTTTCTTTACATATAAGTTTGTTATGTCTGTTTCAACTGTGCTATACCGTATCTATCATAATTATAACATGTTGTAAATTAATGAATTAATAGTAGAAATAGTTATGATAGGAAATTATTAATAGTAAAAAATAGAAAAAAATGAAAAAACAATGGTTGTGATATAAATGAATGTTAGTAGTATGAATGATTGTGTGATACTGCCCGTGTAGCCCCCATCACGTAGGTAGCAACAGTCAGGTGTGTCAAGTACATGAACACACTGCAGCTCCAGACCTTGGCAACTAGACAGTCTTATAAACGTGGTTTACGAATCCACCAACTCCTAAAATTAAAATGTGAAGAAATGTATGAGAAACAGTGGGTTTATTTATTCCACCGACTCAAAATATATAAATGTTTACAAAAAAACCTGTTGCTATCAATATAAATAAATTACTTAAATACTAAAATTAAAACCTGTTGAAAATGTATTGTAAAAACTCCGTTCTCTATGTTAAATTGCTACATTATTTTCTCCTACTTAACATTTTGAGGAAATAAAAATTCATATTTGAAATTGGAATTAATAAAAAAAATTACCTACTGCCCTAAATTTTTTGGCCAAAAATCTGTAACAAAAAAAAGAGTCAGGCCTAACACAGATAATCACATTGATGAAAATACATACGGTACATGACACGAGATATCTACTGACCAATGAGATCATTTCACTTAAACCAAAGTATACAGCCAACTTCCAGTGTGAAAAATCAGCATCGCCTGAAGCACCCGTAAAATCTTGTTCCTCATCATCACCACATTCATATTTATCTATCACCTGCAGTTTGAATTTTGAGAAATGGGGAACAGAACATTTATTTCAAAGCCCAAAAGGTACTTGACAGCTGGACACAGATCAGAGTGAGGGCAAGTGTTTCTTTCCTGCATGATGTAATGGTTATACAGCATCAGCACTTCCCGAGGGAAGGGAATTAACTGACTTAAAAAGTCCAGTTTCCACCTTTGCCGAACTAGGCTGAAATTATGATGTTATATTTTGGCTGGACTAACACAAGTCTATGCATACCAATAGTCCAAGCAAAATCGTGTAACGAAATCGACAACCAGTTTTTAAACTGCGGTACAGATTTTGTTATATTACAGGATTTGCAAAGCATGTATACCATCAACATGCTGTCAACAGAAATTTTCCAAATCTTTACAAGTTTTGAATCAAGGTGCTCACACGATTTGATGTACTTTGGAAAGTAAGACCCGTTTTGTTACAATATAGATCTTGATTATCGATCACATCATCTTCACTGGGCGCTGCCATTATGTTTGAAGCAAATACAAGTGATTGGTCAATAGGAGGGACATAAAAGGGATGTAGCTCGTAATAGCAACTGGTGGTGCTACAATCGAGTCCAGAAATTGCAGCGTAGTTCGGCAAGGGTGGAAACTGGACTTTACAGTCAGTTAACTCCCTTGCCTCAGGAAGATGCTGCATCAAGGCCGAGCCTATGTATAATGGTGACACAGGGCTTTCAAATACAGGTCTACTCTAGTATCTACACTAAAATATTCAACGAAAGTTACACCCATTCCAATAACAACCAATCATCTTTGACTATATACACAGATATAGCCATTGAAAATAGAACGAACATATACATTTACCGGGATCACTATGACTTAATTTGACACAATTTCAACAGATTGGTTTTTTTCAGTCTAGTATCATAGGATGACTGATCAGCTACAGTAACGTGAAAGTGAGTGAGTGAGTTTGGTTTAACGCCGCTTTTAACAGTATTCCAGTTATATCGCGGCGTGTCAGCTTAATGTGAGAGGAAAGCCCGAAGTGATGCAGGTCTCAGACGTTTACCACTTCGGTGAAACCCACGAGCACAGGTATGGTGCTGACAAACCTAGAAACATAATAGAGGCGAACCGGGATTCGAACCCACAATCATAGGTTTCTGACGTGTCCAGGGGACGCAACTCTGCACAGCGAAACGCGGCGCCTTAGACGACTGGGCCACCCGTGCCCCCGTAATGTGAAAGAATCAGGTGTTGTTGTACTTCTTTGGGTAGTATATACGCAAAGACACCTGTGAGGATATTATATAGATTATCATCACTGTGTATTAAGTTTCCGATTAGCTGTGACAATGGAGTAATGTTAATGTTTGAGGTGCTTCATGTGTACAGTGTCAACATTACCAAGGTCAAGGTCAGCCTACTACTTTTCGTATCTAACAAAAGAAATGATGAAATTGAATTTTTGGATGCATTCATGTTTACAGTGGTTAAATATTTGGGCATCAGTGACAATATTTATGATGTTTTACATGATATATATTTATTTGGGGCTAATCCATTTGAGGTATGTCCAAGGGGTGTAACAATCTACCTGTCTTTTGATCAAAATAAGTGTAATGTATCGTGAGATCATGTACCTTCACAAAATAATATAAATGGGAGGGCATGCATTCATCAAATGATGATGAATTGTTAAAATCACTTTCTTAGGGCACTCGGGACCTTAATTAATAACCTGAAGCCCGTGTCAAGCAATATTTAAGATAGTCTAGTACATTTATTGTTACCCATATGTGCAGGGAATCATATAAAAAAACCATTGAGGTCAAGGTCAAGGTCAAACATTTATCATGTAATGTATCCCTCCCCACTTTATGATGTGAACCATTTCTAGTTACCATGGTTACCTCAAGTAACTAAGTTGTGCAGGATCTAAACTAATGGTGCCACATGTAACTATGGTAATACTATGGTAACCGGTAGTGCAAGTTAAAGATTAACAATAAATAGGATAAATAATGATATTAGTCATTTAGATGATATATACAAATAATAAAGCCGTATAGCCTAAACAGTATGGCCAGAGAGAACAGCGACCAGCTTCACTAAGATGTCTTAGCTATGTCGGACTAGGTCTTTGTTAACATGGTGTCACAAACACTTTGTCAACAAAGCAGTGATATACAAGATATCCTTTGTCTAAGAGGGTGAATTACGGCTGTTTAAAGTCTATGTTCAGAGACAGGGGTTCCATAATTTTAAGATTGCCCTGTCGACAAAGTGAACTTACCACAACTATCCCTCACCCCCACTACTATCACCTCACCCCCACTTCTATCACCTCACCCCCACTTCTATCACCTCACCCCCACTACTATCACCTCACCCCCACTTCTATCACCTCACCCCCACTTCTATCACCTCACCCCCATTACTATCACCTCACCCCCACTTCTATCACCTCACCCTATCCGTAGCTACAATCTAGCCATACTGTTTAAGCCACAGTTGTTTACAACACGAAGCATTTGACTAGAAACAACTGACATGATTCGTATGTCTGGGAAACACATTCTTGCACCAACCTTGAATCACTATTGGCACCCATTACTTACTGCAACATATTCCTATCATCAAGGGAACAAATACCGTGAAGCATTCATAAAATCACTGGAAACAAACTCATAAAAAAGACACAAGATACACCTTGTTCTGTGTGACAATCACATTGGACGTAACAGCATTTCAACAGCATATTGTTTACAATAACTATCTTCTACAAGTACAAATGTGGAAATCTATGGACATTTACTTTTAACAGGGGCTTCCTCTGATAAAATAGCACTTGTTATATGAAGATATTGTTAGGAAGCATGGACGCAAACTTGTCGATATATCAGCCATGGCTAGCTCTGTTCGATCATCTGGCCTGTCAATCTATAGCACTATGTTGACATTCAGACCATCTGACCTTCTTCTTTGATTGTCAGTATCCCTCCTTGCTTTCTTTAATCTTCCGAGCCAGGCAGCAGGCGAATATTATACCAAATATCTGAAACAATTTTAAATTGTAAATATGATTTTTGGTTTGTTGTTTAACGCTGCACTTAGCAATATTCCAGCTATATGACGGCAGTCTGTAAAAATTGACTTGACCTGATAATCCATTGATTGACATCATGAGCATCGATCCACGCAATTGGGATACGATGATACCAAGTCAGCAAGCCTGACCACTCGATCCTGTTAGTCGCCTCTTACGACAAGCAGAGCAGCCTTTTAAGGCAATGTAAATATGAATGCATAACATGCTGATGATGTTTTCAGATGCACAAGTCATTGAGAACAAGCTTGAAATACTCATATCCCCCACCAAAATGACATGTCCGGTTGTGTGCAAGGCAAGATATATCGTACAGTTTTCAAGATCTGCTCCGGAAACGAGCATTTTTCGCCATTTTCAGTCTAAGTCAAAGTAGTTGCTATGGAAACTCAAAAAATAAATTTTTAGAAAATCCCAAACTATCAAAAGGCTAGTTTACCACTAGACCTATCTATGTGCCAATTCTGGTGAAGAAATACTGTACGGTTTCAAAGATCTGCTCCAGAACTGACCACTACCGCCATTTTCAGTCAAAGTCGTTGCTATGGAAACTCGAAAAATACATTTTTTAAAAATCCAAAACTATCAAAAGGCCCCAGTTCACCACTAGACCTATCTATGTGCCAAGTTTGGTTGAGATATCTCTCATGGTTTTTGAGTTGAAGTAACTCTCATGCCGGACGCGGACGGAAGGACAGCACCCATTCTTATATCCCCCTTCCACTTCGTGGCGGGGATAATATAGGAACTAAAGTGCCACTGATGATATTTGTCTTTTCTGTACAGTGTGAAACTAGAACAAATTACATGCAGAAACACCAGAAATCATTACATACTCCAATGGATTTCCATATTCGATACCAGTACCTTTAATTGGGCTCAGTGAGGCCCGGACTTAAGTACCTTGGCTCAAGACAACATGGGGAACCTAAAGGCCTTTCCTCACTGATAACATCACTTCATGTTTACTGTCAAGTCAACTTTAAAACAGATAGTCCCATGCCTTGCTACAAAGTTTCTGAGTAATATGCTCAGGCTATCCATAGTCTACACACATGGCAAACATCACATACCTGTATGAGAAAGTTATTATAGTAATCTCTTAATGTAGATAGATAGCCCTAGATATGAGACACGTATCAGAAAGTTATTGTATTAAACTCATAACGTGGCCAGCTGTCATGTGATGCGTACCTGTATACAACACAGGCCAAGTCCTATCCCACCAATCAGAATCAGGTGCTTCTTGACGGACTCCTCCAGCCGGGGAGAGCAGCCCTGGAACAGGAAGATGAACCATGATTACACAGTGAACTTGGACATCAGCATCAGGTCAATATTGATAAATTACTATTTCCTCAGGCATTGTCAATAGGCTTTGTACATAAAGCCAAACATTTTTATTTTTAATTTTATGGGCGTGCCACCCCTACTGAGAAGCATCTGGAAAAGAAATAATGAAACATAAAACTTAAAAAAAAATAAAAATTGGTTCTCAGACTCTTGAAAATATCATGCTGGCGGGCAGTGGTTTTTTTGTTTTTTTTCTGCTAGTTCAAACTAGTCTGTAACCAAATAAACAGTTGTGTACCATCAACCTGGGAAAGGGCCTCCCTACACAAACAAGCACACAAACTCCTATTGTCACCATGACCATAACACGAGATGCGAAGTGGAGAAGTGAGTATGTAAAAGTAACTGCATGCTATATTGGATCGCATTGTTTTAAGTATCAGGATTTATTTTTTTTAAATTGAAAATGGAAATAAAAACAAAATGTGCGGCAGACTTTATGATGATGTGGGCAGTGCCTGAGAGCCAAACTATTATTTTTTTTAGCTTAATTTTTTTTTGGTTATTATGTCTCCTGCCAGTAATATGGATCCTCATATAAAAAATAAAATATTATATATCAATTCCATGTCTACATCACTATCAGTGATTCAAGAAGCCAGCTGCAGTTTTACCGGCAGAATGACTTTCATAAATAAACGATTGACATAGCTATTTATTTTTGCTTTTATTTCGACCGACCTTGTGCCGAAAAGCTGGAACAAATCCATGAAAAATAAATTAGAAAAAGTGTGGCCTTATCGTATGCAGAAATGCAGGTGATAAAAATCAGATATGCAGTTCCAAATTGAATTTAGCAAGGTTAGATCTACAGGTAAGCTGGCCCTCGTTGAAAACACAGTATGCTTATCTCTTACTGCACAGTCTTAAATAAAGATGACCGGCTTCGTGGTTTAGTGGTAGAGAGTCTGTGTGGAAAGAAGAATGAGTGAGTTGGTTTTAACGCCACTTTTAACAGTATTCCAGTTATATCACGGCGTGTCAGCTTTATGTGGGAGGAAAACACAAAGTGATGCAGGTCTTAGATGTTTACCACTTCGGTGAAACCCACGAGCATGGGTATGGTGCTGACAAAACTAGAAACATAATCAGGAAAACCAGGATTTGAACCCACAATCATAGGTTTCTGGCATGCCCAAGGGACGCAACTCTGCACAGCGAATTGCGGCACCTCAGACGACTGGGCCACCCGTTCTCCCCCGGGAAGAATAAGGTCGGGGATTTGATGCCTTTTGTGCCACACCAAAAGAAGGCACTTGTTGTTACCCTCCCCTAAAACAGCATAGGATGCTGGTGACCAATTCTAACCCAGATCACCCCCAGAGCTCCCATCAAGGAGTGATCAAGGGGTACCAGGGGCAGGGGGTCCTACCTTCCAGTAGATGTTGGAGGGGGAGTCACTCTTGCCGCACCGCAGCGTGGGGGAGATGCAGCAGCTGTCCGGCACCACGTTCTCCGTGGCCGTGTCCATCTTCAGCCAGCGTGAGTAGTGCCAGTCTTTGTAGGAGCCGGCGCCGCAGCACTGGAACTAGACACACCACCACCATGTACAGCTAGTACTGATCACTGGTTGTAATGCAGGGAGTGAGACAATCAAGGTACACTGACATATCAGTTACAGGGGACCTTATCTCCACTGGAATCCCTTTCCCCATCATAGGTTACTGGGGACCTTATCTCCACTGGAATCCCTTTGCCCACCAAGGTTACTGGGAACCTTATCTCCACTGGAATCCCTTTGCCCAGCATAGGTTACTGGGAACCTTATTTCCACTGGAATCCCTTTGCCCATCATAGGTTACTGGGAACCTTATCTCCACTGGAATCCCTTTGCCTATCATAGGTTACTGGGAACCTTATCTCCACTGGAATCCCTTTGCCTATCATAGGTTACTGGGGACCTTATCTCCACTGGAATCCCTTTGTCCATCATAGGTTACTGGGGACCTTATCTCCCCTGGATTCCCTTTGCCCATCATAGGTTACTGGAGACCTGATCTCCCCTGGAATCCCTTTGTCCATCATAGGTTACTGGGAACCTTATCTCCACTGGAATCCCTTTGTCCATCATAGGTTACTGGGGACCTTATCTCCCCTGGATTCCCTTTGCCCATCATAGGTTACTGGGGACCTTATCTCCCCTGGAATCCCTTTGCCTATCATAGGTTACTGGGGACCTTATCTCCAGTGGATTCCCTTTGCCTATCATAGGTTACTGGGGACCTTATCTCCACTGGAATCCCTTTGCCTATCATAGGTTACTGGGGACCTTATCTCCCCTGGAATCCCTTTGTCCATCATAGGTTACTGGGGACCTTATCTCCAGTGGATTCCCTTTGCCTATCATAGGTTACTGGGGACCTTATCTCCACTGGAATCCCTTTGCCTATCATAGGTTACTGGGGACCTTATCTCCCTTGGATTCCCTTTGCCTATCATAGGTTACTGGGGACCTTATCTCCACTGGAATCCCTTTGCCTATCATAGGTTACTGGGGACCTTATCTCCACTGGAATCCCTTTGCCCATCATAGGTTACAGGGGACCTTATCTCCACTGGAATCCCTTTGCCCATCATAGGTTACTGGAGACCTTATCTCCACTGGAATCCCTTTTCCCATCATAGGTTACTGGAGACCTTATCTCCCCTGGAATCTCTTTGCCCATCATAGGTTACTGGAGACCTTATCTCCCCTGGAATCCCTTTTCCCATCATAGGTTACTAGGGACCTTATCGCCCCTGGAATCTCTTTGCCCATCATAGGTTACTGGGGACCTTATCTCCACTGGAATCTCTTTGCCCATCATAGGTTACTGGGGACCTTATCTCCACTGGAATCCCTTTGTCCATCATAGGTTACTGGGGACCTTATCTCCCCTGGAATCCCTTTGCCCATCATAGGTTACTGGGGACCTTATCTCCCCTGGAATCCCTTTGCCCATCATAGGTTAATGGGACTTTATCTCCACAGGAATCCCTTTGCCCATCATAGGTTAATGGGGACCTTATCTCCACTGGAATCCCTTTGCCCATCATAGGTTAATGGGACCTTATCTCCACAGGAATCCCTTTGCCCATCATAGGTTAATGGGGACCTTATCTCCACTGGAATCTCTTTGCCCATCATAGGTTAATGGGACCTTATCTCCCCTGGAATCCCTTTGCCCACCAAGGTTACTGGGGACCTTATCTCCACTGGAATCCCTTTGCCCATCATAGGTTACTGGGGACCTTATCTCCCCTGGAATCCCTTTGCCCATCATAGGTTACTGGGACCTTATCTCCCCTGGAATCCCTTTGCCCACCAAGGTTACTGGGGACCTTATCTCCACTGGAATCCCTTTGCCCATCATAGGTTACTGGGGACCTTATCTCCACTGGAATCCCTTTGCCCATCATAGGTTACTGGAGACCTTATCTCCCCTGGAATCCCTTTGTCCATCATAGGTTACTGGAGACCTTATCTCCCCTGGAATCCCTTTGCCCATGATAGGTTACTGGGGACCTTATCTCCACTGGAATCTCTTTGCCCATCATAGGTTACTGGGGACCTTATCTCCGCTGAATTCCCTTTGTCCATCATAGGTTACTGGGGACCTTATCTCCGCTGGAATCCCTTTGTCCATCATAGTTAACTGGGGACCTTATCTCCGCTGGAATCTCTTTGCCCATCATAGGTTACTGGGGACCTTATCTCCACTGGAATCCCTTTCCCTATCATAGGTTACTGGGGACCTTATCTCCCCTGGATTCCCTTTGCCCATCATAGGTTACTGGAGACCTTATCTCCACTGGAATCCCTTTGCCCATCATAGGTTACTGGGGACCTTATCTCCGCTGGAATCTCTTTGCCCATCATAGGTTACTGGGGACCTTATCTCCACTGGAATCTCTTTGCCCATCATAGGTTACTGGGGACCTTATCTCCGCTGGAATCTCTTTGCCCATCATAGGTTACTGGGGACCTTATCTCCGCTGGAATCCCTTTTCCCATCATAGGTTACTGGAGACCTTATCTCCGCTGGAATCCCTTTGCCCATCATAGGTTACTGGGGACCTTATCTCCGCTGGAATCTCTTTGCCCATCATAGGTTACTGGGGACCTTATCTCCACTGGAATCTCTTTGCCCATCATAGGTTACTGGAGACCTTATCTCCGCTGGAATCTCTTTGCCCATCATAGGTTACTGGAGACCTTATCTCCGCTGGAATCCCTTTTCCCATCATAGGTTACTGGGGACCTTATCTCCACTGGAATCCCTTTGTCAATCATAGGTTACTGGAGACCTTATCTCCACTGGAATCCCTTTGCCCATCATAGGTTACTGGAGACCTTATCTCCACTGGAATCCCTTTGTCAATCATAGGTTACTGGAGACCTTATCTCCACTGGAATCTCTTTGCCCATCATAGGTTACTGGGGACCTTATCTCCGCTGGAATCTCTTTGCCCATCATAGGTTACTGGGGACCTTATCTCCCCTGGATTCCCTTTCCCTATCATAGGTTACTGGAGACCTTATCTCCCCTGGATTCCCTTTCCCTATCATAGGTTACTGGAGACCTTATCTCCACTGGAATCCCTTTGTCAATCATAGGTTACTGGGGACCTTATCTCCACTGGAATCTCTTTGCCCATCATAGGTTACTGGGGACCTTATCTCCGCTGGAATCTCTTTGCCTATCATAGGTTACTGGGGACCTTATCTCCCCTGGATTCCCTTTCCCTATCATAGGTTACTGGAGACCTTATCTCCCCTGGATTCCCTTTCCCTATCATAGGTTACTGGAGACCTTATCTCCACTGGAATCCCTTTGCCCATCATAGGTTACTGGAGACCTTATCTCCCCTGGAATCCCTTTGTCCATCATAGGTTACTGGAGACCTTATCTCCCCTGGAATCCCTTTGTCCATCATAGGTTACTGGGGACCTTATCTCCACTGGAATCCCTTTCCCTATCATAGGTTACTGGAGACCTTATCTCCACTGGAATCCCTTTGTCCATCATAGGTTACTGGGGACCTTATCTCCCCTGGAATCCCTTTGCCCATCATAGGTTACTGGGGACCTGATCTCCCTTGATTCCCTTTGCCCATCATAGGTTACTGGGGACCTTATCTCCACTGGAATCCCTTTGTCCATCATAGGTTACTGGGGACCTTATCTCCCCTGGAATCCCTTTGCCCATCATAGGTTACTGGGACCTTATCTCAACTGGAATCCCTTTGCCCATCATAGGTTACTGGGGACCTTATCTCCACTGGAATCCCTTTGTCCATCATAGGTTACTGGAGACCTTATCTCCACTGGAATCCCTTTGTCCATCATAGGTTACTGGGGACCTTATCTCCACTGGAATCCCTTTCCCTATCATAGGTTACTGGAGACCTTATCTCCACTGGAATCCCTTTGTCCATCATAGGTTACTGGGGACCTTATCTCCCCTGGAATCCCTTTGCCCATCATAGGTTACTGGGGACCTGATCTCCCTTGATTCCCTTTGCCCATCATAGGTTACTGGGGACCTTATCTCCACTGGAATCCCTTTGTCCATCATAGGTTACTGGGGACCTTATCTCCACTGGAATCCCTTTGCCCATCATAGGTTACTGGGGACCTTATCTCCCCTGGAATCCCTTTGCCCATCATAGGTTACTGGGGACCTTATCTCCACTGGAATCCCTTTGTCCATCATAGGTTACTGGGGACCTTATCTCCCCTGGAATCCCTTTGCCCATCATAGGTTACTGGGGACCTTATCTCCCCTGGAATCCCTTTGCCCATCATAGGTTACTGGGGACCTTATCTCCACTGGAATCCCTTTGCCCATCATAGGTTACTGGGGACCTTATCTCCACTGGAATCCCTTTGTCCATCATAGGTTACTGGAGACCTTATCTCCACTGGAATCCCTTTGTCCATCATAGGTTACTGGGGACCTTATCTCCACTGGAATCCCTTTGCCTATCATAGGTTACTGGAGACCTTATCTCCACTGGAATCCCTTTGTCCATCATAGGTTACTGGGGACCTGATCTCCCTGGAATACCTTTGCCCATCATAGGTTACTGGGGACCTTATCTCCGCTGGAATCTAGGGCTGGGCGGGCAAGTAGGATACTCAGGTCAGGTGGGTCCTGAGTAGGACCCAGGTACCCACAGGACTACCTGGACCCGTGGTTAGTCACGTGATATATTGTTATATGACAAAAATTATCTAGAATTCTATGGTTACACTACAAGTCACTAATGTTCACATTTCCTCGTGACTATGTACCCATTCCTTTTGATTTTATATATTTAAATAAAAATAAAACTTCAGTCAGCTTCAGTGTATGCTTGACCAGATCATTTTCTACGTGTATCCAAATACATTTTGCCAGGGCTATGCTCCAACTATTCCCAATCAGACATTTTGTACCCAACTCTTGAGACCTGTAGCAGGTACCCGGGTAGGGTTGGGTAATAGCGGGGTGGGTACCCGGGTAGTAAATTTGGACTCGTCCCAGCCCTACTGGAATCCCTATGACTATCACAACTTGCTGGGGACTGTTGTAACCCTGAATCCTCACAGGAATATTTCAAGACTTATCCATTGAAAAAAATATAGCTGTATTGAATAGATGGATTATTTACTGTGTCAAATACCAACATCAGTACCGTGTGTAAGAAATGCTTTTATTATTTTATTCTAAATCATAAGGAATCATAAAGAAAAGAGTACAAGTTTCATAGCAACAAGAAGGGGAGGCAACTCACCTCCTTTTGCATGTCGTTGACTGCGTCTGTGATGCTGTTGTAGAAGTTGTAGTTGTTGATGATGGTGTGATTCAGGTTCCTCGTCAACTCTTCTCGGATCTGCATCAGTACACAATGTGTTCACAATACCCTGGTGCATGTACTTCAGGAATAACCTGAGTCAGCATTCTCAAATGAATCAATGTATTTGTAATGTATATTGTCAACCCATCCTGTCCCGCACTCCCTACAGAAAACCCACAGATTAGTGTTTAAGACTTGACAGTGCAGTCAGCCACATTCCAGCAACATAACAGCACAGTGATCCCGTTTACTGGTAATTACCAGTTTTTTACCGGTAAAATTAGGCTTGGACCAGTAATTCATGTGACTGCCAGTCCCTATGGACCGGCAAATAAAGTACCTTATAAATCTTTAATGTTGAACAAAACAATGGTGATATTCATAAAAGTATATTTTCCGAACAAAGTCAGCTTGTCTGTTACAATCAGGGTTTCCCCTTTTTGATTTTTAGAGAAAGGAAATAACATTTCGCTTTGCTTAAATATATTTTTGTAGTGACTTGGTCTTGAAATATTCAAAAGAAAGAGAAAATTGTGACTGAACCTTGTGTGAACGACGTGTAGATCTAACTAAATTACTTCAGAGATGACATCATTGCATTGAACATGATGTTGAAAGAATTATGACCAGGTAATTTTCATACGTTTTTTTATTTGTTGAAGTTGGGACTGACAAAAATTAGGGGGGACTGGTAATTTTTAGAGTTACCAGTCCACCAGGACTGGCAGTTTCAAAAGCCAGCGGGAACTCTGCAGCATCTTGTATATAATAGACCATGGATCAGACAAACCCATGATTGATAGCATGAACAATGACCTATGCTGTACGATATCAGATCAAAGGTACGATGACCACGATAACAAACAGCCCAATATCCATTGTAACCATCTAATAACAATTTTAGTTATAATATTCTGCCCTTGAATCCCCAAAGGGAGACAAGTCTTGGGTACAGGGAACCCATTCTGCCCTGGAATCCCTATAGGGAGACAAGCATTGGGTACAGGGAACCCATTCTGCCCTGGAATCCCTATAGGGAGACAAGCCTTGGGTACAGGGAATCCATTCTGCCCTGGAATCCCTATAGGGAGACAAGCATTGGGTAGTGGTGTATACAAAGTGTGAGATCACCTACCGCTCCTTCATACATGTAGGCCAGCACCCCAGCTACAGCCTCCAGCAGGAAGATCACCAGCAGCAAGAACGCGTACTGCAGAGTAGACAAGACACACATAAAACCACTTGTTTTACCATGGAGGGCTACTTACTTAAACAATAGACAGCTACTTACTTAAACAATAGTCGGCTACTTACTTAAACAATAGACGGCTACTTACTGTCACACATAAAACCAATTGTTTTACCATGGAAGGCTACTTACTTACAATAGACGGATACTCACTTAAACAATAGACAGGTACTTACTGTCACACATAAAACCACTTGTTTTACCATGGAAGGCTACTTACTTACAATAGACGGATACTCACTTAAACAATAGACGGCTACTTACTGTCACACATAAAACCAATTGTTTTACCATGGAAGGCTACTTACTTACAATAGACGGATACTCACTTAAACAATAGACGGCTACTTACTGTCACACATAAAACCAATTGTTTTACCATGGAAGGCTACTTACTTACAATAGACGGATACTCACTTAAACAATAGACGGCTACTTACTGTCACACATAAAACCAATTGTTTTACCATGGAAGGCTACTTACTTACAATAGACGGATACTCACTTAAACAATAGACGGCTACTCACTTAAACAATAGACTGCTACTTACTGTCACACATAAAACCAATTGTTTTACCACGGAAGGCTACTTACTTACAATAGACGGATACTCACTTAAACAATAGACGGCTACTTACTTAAACAATAGATGGCTACTTACTGTCACACATAAAACCACTTGTTTTACCATGGAAGGCTACTTACTTACAATAGACGGATACTCACTTAAACAATAGATGGCTACTTACTGTCACACATAAAACCACTTGTTTTACCATGGAAGGCTACTTACTTACAATAGACGGATACTCACTTAAACAATAGACGGATACTTACTGTCACACATAAAACCAATTGTTATACCATGGAAGGCTACTTACTTACAATAGACGGATACTCACTTAAACAATAGACGGCTACTTACTGTCACACATAAAACCAATTGTTTTACCATGGAAGGCTACTTACTTACAATAGACGGATACTCACTTAAACAATAGACGGCTACTTACTGTCACACATAAAACCAATTGTTTTACCATGGAAGGCTACTTACTTACAATAGACGGATACTCACTTAAACAATAGACGGCTACTTACTGTCACACATAAAACCAATTGTTTTACCATGGAAGGCTACTTACTTACAATAGACGGATACTCACTTAAACAATAGACGGCTATACTTACTGTCACACATAAAACCAATTGTTTTACCATGGAAGGCTACTTACTTACGATAGACGGATACTCACTTAAACAATAGACGGCTACTTACTGTCACACATAAAACCAATTGTTTTACCATGGAAGGCTACTTACTTACAATAGACGGATACTCACTTAAACAATAGACGGCTATACTTACTGTCACACATAAAACCAATTGTTTTACCATGGAAGGCTACTTACTTACAATAGACGGATACTCACTTAAACAATAGACGGCTATACTTACTGTCACACATAAAACCAATTGTTTTACCATGGAAGGCTACTTACTTACAATAGACGGATACTCACTTAAACAATAGACGGCTACTTACTGTCACACATAAAACCAATTGTTTTACCATGGAAGGCTACTTACTTACAATAGACGGATACTCACTTAAACAATAGACGGCTATACTTACTGTCACACATAAAACCAATTGTTTTACCATGGAAGGCTACTTACTTACAATAGACGGATACTCACTTAAACAATAGACGGCTACTTACTGTCACACATAAAACCAATTGTTTTACCATGGAAGGCTACTTACTTACAATAGACGGATACTCACTTAAACAATAGACGGCTACTTACTGTCACACATAAAACCAATTGTTTTACCATGGAAGGCTACTTACTTACAATAGACGGATACTCACTTAAACAATAGACGGCTACTTACTGTCACACATAAAACCAATTGTTTTACCATGGAAGGCTACTTACTTAAACAACAGACGGCTACTTACTGTCACACATAAAACCAATTGTTTTACCATGGAAGGCTACTTACTTACAATAGACGGATACTCACTTAAACAATAGACGGCTACTTACTTAAACAATAGACGGCTACTTACTGTCACACATAAAACCAATTGTTTTACCATGGAAGGCTACTTACTTACAATAGACGGATACTCACTTAAACAATAGACGGCTACTTACTGTCACACATAAAACCAATTGTTTTACCATGGAAGGCTACTTACTTCCAATAGACGGATACTCACTTAAACAATAGACGGCTACTTACTGTCACACATAAAACCAATTGTTTTACCATGGAAGGCTACTTACTTACAATAGACGGATCCTCACTTAAACAATAGACAGTAACTTACATACATGATGGCACACCATGGCAACCATGACAACTTTTCTCATTCCAGTATCACCTTTTAGAACTGACCTGTTTGAAACCTGAACTGACAGAATGAGTGAGTGAATTGTGATTTATGCCACTGAATTTGAAATTGAGCGAGTATGTTGAAGTGTAACAAATGTCTCTGAAGCCTTCAAGTATGGGTATGGTATTGACCAAACAAGGATCATAATCAGGACAATTATGGGATTCAAACCTAACACCAGGAGATCCTGCATCTAAGGGAAGCAACTCTGCACAGACAGTTGCGGAGCCTTAGACATGTTATCTTCTGTCATTTTGACAAAGGAGCAGAATCCACATTGTTACCGAGACGAGGCAGCATCGGTTATCTTTGACGGTGCCGAGACATCCGAGGATTCCCACGAAGATGATGATGGTGCCGATGGCGAGGAAGAGGAAGGTGGTGGCAGGGTAGGTGTTGTTGCCAAGGAGACCCACATAACGGTGCTTGTTGATAATTGTCCATATCCCCATGATCAGGAACGCCAGACCAGTCGCCTACAAATCATAAATCATTCCTCAAATTCCAGACCAATGATTAGCACTAGATTCATGCATAGATTTTGTTTGCTGTTGAGCGCTGCACTCAGCAATATTCCAGCTATATGATGGCAGTCTGTAAATAATCGAGGCCGAACCAGCCAATCCAGTGATTGACATCACTGATCTATGCAATTGGGAAACAATGACATGCATCAACCAAGTTGGCGAGCCTGACCACTCGATCCCTTTAGTCAGTGGTGTGCATGGCTAGTGGGCTACTGTAGGCTTGTTTGATTTTTGTAGTGACTGATATATTTAACATTCAAAGACACTCTGGTGATGTATATGAAGTATGATTTTTACCATCAATCAGTGTCTAACTTGACATTCTAAAATATTAGAATATAGATTGTACATAACAAAGAAAAAATATGTCATATCAGGTAAACAAAATATCATTTACAAATCTGCCAATAAAAAACAAGAGAAATTAGTAAAAAAACAGAAATAAGTATAACATGAAAACCCCAACTCATTTACTCTTGCTATCAATATTCAATACAAATTAATTATTAAAAAAATACTGATGGAAACAAATCAGGGAACAATGACAAATATAGCAATCTCATTAAAATCAGATCTTAGTTCCTGCTATCGCTAAACAAAGATCTAAGGACATCCCATTATGGGTCACGTCAGACAACCTTTCGCAAACTTTGACCGACCACTGAAATGACTAACAAGAATCGACATCAGCCATTGGGAAGGCAGCTTTCTCGAGCTTTATGGGACTCGTTTCAACCTGGCGACTTTTCATTTCAGACTACGCTTGAAAAATATGTTAACCCAGTTCTCGATTAAAATTTTGAAAACTGAACAAAAGAACATTGTGGAATGTCTAATATATGGTTGCGATTGTATGGCAGTGCTTCCCATGTACTGTGCAATGGCTCTTTCATTCAAATGTTTCTCCAATGGAAGTGAGAGATAGGCGATGATTTTGACAGAATCAGTTGTACAGGCCGTAACTTAGCGCTAATGTTTTCGAGGTTGCATGATTAGAAAACACATTCCGACTGTCACTTTCATGATCTGGTAAGGATGAAAGGTTGTTCTGACGTGACCCGTAATGGGATGTCCTCAGATCTTTGTTTCGCGATAGGGAGAACTAAGATCTAATTTTAATGAGATTGACAAATATAGTGAACTAAGCTTAACTGTCAGTACATTTGAAATAGCGCACATACAAAATCAACACATGTCAGAATCAAACGTTGAGATGTGTTTTTGTGCATTGTTTCCAAATCGTATTTGGTAGACAAGGCTTGGAACTGATGACAGCACATCTTTTTACTGAGTCAAAAACTAAGTGTTCCCTCATTTATCTCCATCAGTATACGATAATTAACAACTCTTCATGTCGGAAGAGGTGACTAACAACATCGGATGGTCAGGCTCGCTGACTTCGTTGATGCATGTCATCGTCCTCATTATGTGGATCAATGCTCATGGTGCCAATCACTGGATTGTCTGGTCCAGATTCGATTATTTACAGACTGCCATCATATAGGTTGAACATTGAGTCGGCGTTGAACAACAAACAAACAAATTGTAATTAAAACCTGTTGAAAATTTATCTAAATACTTTAAAACACAACAAATTATGATGAACCCGTATTCCACCAGCCAAAACTTTCTTCCCCCTACTTACTTAACATTTTCAGGAAATCCAAAATATGTAAAGATATTGTTGAAACTGGAATTTTAATTCTAAATTATTTTTTTGACCTACCAACACTTACTACTGAATTTTATAAATCTATTGGCTTATTTCCTATGTACTAATTTGGCCACACATTTTTTATTTTTTGTTTCACAGGCCCATCGCCCCTACTGAAAAGCAGCTGGAAAAGCAATAAATGAAACAAAAATATATATTTTGATGTTTCCCACTAGTAATTTATACCCTCTTACACAACATAAAATGTTATACATAAATTCCATGTCTACATCACTGTCAGTGATTCAAGAAGCCAACTCCACGACAGAATGACATTCATATAAGTAAATAGATGATGAACATAGCTATTTATTTTTATTTTTATTTCAACCGACCTTGTGTGGAAGAGCTGGAATAAATCCGTGAAACATAAAATTAACGTTACGCCTCTTATAGCAATATTCCAGCAATATCACGGCGGGGGACACCAGAAATTCATCAAATTAAAAATGTGTGGCCTTAGACTAAACAGTTGCATAGATTCAATAGAGGCATTCATTCCACTCAACACTAGCAGCAAACTGAGACCCCAAACAATCAAACAAGTATTTTAAGGCCTAATTGGTACAAAGTCTCTCAAACTCAGCAGCTGTTTCGTGCAAGATTAGGTCCCCTGTGTTACCACATACTCGCACATGAAACAATCTGCTGACGCGGCTGTTTTCTCACACAGAGGTAACTGGAGCCAGACTTGATACACATCCACACTTGAGTGTATTCCAACCCTCATTAATCTCCCCCCACCGGCAACAGTCTGTACATGGTGGTAAATGCCAGTCTCATAGCTGCTCTCTGTACCGATAAACCCTCTACACCTCCAGATAGACTCACTTTACTGCAGGTTTATAGCATTGTAAAGATGTAGTATGATAATGAGTGTATAAAAGATTGTGTCATAGATGCATATTTTGCGATAGTAATGTCTTTAGGCATATTGCATTAAACTATTTTGATGATGGAAAAACTGTTTATCATAAAGATGATAACGATGAAATTAACCAAATTTGAAATTGTTTTCTGTTTCATAAATGAAAGTTTATGTGCTGTTTCAAATTTAAATATGTCAGAGTAGGCTCATGAGAAAGGCAAGAATTGGTCGACCCAAAGGTATCTTATTCCTGGTCCAGTTCCACAAAGCCATCTTAGTGCTAAGGTGATTGTAACTCCCATACTTTAACACTGGCTTACGATAGTCGTAGCGCTAAGATCGCTTTGTGGATGGTGCTCTGGAACATAATTACCGTAATATACTACTCAAACAAGTTATTTGTTTGTTTGTTGTTTAATGTTGGAGGTCTGTAGATAATCAAGTTTGGACCAGACAATCCAGTGATGGATATCACAAGCATCGATCTATGATATTGGGATACAATGACATGCATCAACCAAGTCAGCAAGCCTGACCACTCGATCCCGTTTATCGCCTCTTATGACAAGCATAGTCGCCTGTTACAGCAAGCATGGGTTGCTGAAGACCTATTCAACCCAGGATCTTCATGGGCCAAAAATTAAAGAACACCCACAATCGGAAGCCTGTGAGCTGCAATGCACACCAGCCATGACATATTAATATAAGTCACATGAAATTGGGTGCACTTTAACCTCTTTTGAGTAGCAGACTTAGAGATAAAGATTAACATGCTAAACAAGTGCCTCAAATAAATCAATAGTAAATTATGTAAGGTTAAGCAAGATGCTGGAAGTAAGGTGAAATGGGGTTAAACGTCGCGTCCAAGATTATTGCACTTATATAGCGACGTGCATGCACGTGTGTGTGATTGTCTGGCTGCTTGTACTAGTCCGGACTGATGCCGATTTATAGTGCTAGCTCACTTGAGATGCCATGCCGCAGTTTAACATGAACACCCCACTCAGACACAGTATACTGACTGCGAGCCGACCAGTCCTTGTTTTAGCCCCTTAATGATGAGGGCCAGACAGGGTAACAACAAGTACCATCTTTTAACGTCTTTTGGTATGATGGGGTTGGGGATCGAACCCTGGACATTCCGCTCTCCAGGCGAATGCTTTACCACTAGACCACGGAGGCGGTCACTCAAGATGCTGGGAACTGTGGTATGTGTGGCATCTATGTCAGACTCAAAGTAAGTACTGTGTATTTAGTGTCATCCTCACCTTTCACCCCCAATTATACATCTAAGCTCCCCCGAAACACTACAAAAGCACCCAATCAATTCCAAATAACTCAATCTGAGCTCAGTGGATTTATGCCAGCACTGGCATACATGCTCATACTTCCTGGGTCATTGAAACTTGCCCCAAATTCAGACGGCAAGTTGAGAACAGTTTCTTTCAAGTTAATCATGGTTATTAATATCAGTCAATGTTTTTATATAATAGTGAGGAGGCCCATTTTGTTGTAACAAAAACACATTTTTATGTTTTGACAATAACATTTGATTTCTCGATATTTCAATACACACTCTCTGCAAGATTTGTTTTCCTACAAGGCAAGGCACACTTTTGATATAGTATTTTGACTAATGAAAAATACAGACAGACAGTTTTTATCCAGCATTTAAACTTAACCTGCCCAAAAGAAAAAAAAGAAAAAATTGAAGCACACATAAATAAAATTACATTATGAAATTTAAAATGTAAAACTTCCATTTTAGACATAGGTTTGTTCTGAATTTTCAAGTCTGTTATATCATGTTTATACATAAGGGGCAACAACCCAGGTAATAAATTTATTACCAATGCAAGTGAATTTATATTGCAAGGGTATCGTAAATGGGAATTTTGTCAAATCTAATGAAAAACGGCCACCACAACTTAAACCTTCCAAACTATGAAACAGAAAATTGAAAGTTGGCAAAGTTAAGCTTTTAAGGTTTCTATTTCCTAAAGCGGAATGTGAAGTGAGACACAAAACAGAGCTTTCCATCTTTCCATTACGGTGTATGGAAGTAAGAAGTTAAAAGTGGTGTTAGGCTTTCAAGTCCCATCGAAAGTGAGAAGTAGGAAGCGTTGTCAAGCTTTCAATCTATCAAAAATAAAGTTTGAAAGACAAATTGTCAAGTGTTGCCCGGCCCCTTTGAGGCCTGTTGTTGTTGTTGCAATGTTTTCTAGTAAATGTTTTTGTGTTACAGAGTAAAGTAAAGCAGGGCTCAATTTAAGAAACTTGATTTTACTTGCACCAGGTGCATGTTGACATGAAAACCCAGTTGCACCAGACACAACTAGGTTGCACCAGACAAAACTAGGTTCCACC